CTGCTGCTTCATCCATTCTCTTTCTTTCCCATTTACCCCCCTCGCCGCGGCGGTGGCGCTACTACTTTGCGGAAGTATTTTTATGTGGCGCCGTTTATGACTTACTTTTTATTTTTATAGGAGAACTGGTGCGGTCCGCCAGGCTGACCGCTCGGGCCTGTCCAGTGCCACGCAATATATCCCGCAACGATGCTCCTAAATTTTGCGGCATTCGATCTTCAATTTCTTTACGCTCGCTGCTAGCCGAAATAGGTTTGCAATAAAAATAAAAAAAAATGCAGAAAAAATGTTTGTAAAAAAAATGTATTAACCACTTTGACGTTTAAGACTCCATGCTCGATTCTTTTCCTTTTGTTTTCCTCCCTTTGCCACTTTTTGGTTCCGTATCCCCGCTCCGCAACCTCGGCTGTGGTGCGCCGCGCCGACCACGACTCCGCGGCCGAATGAGAGTTTTACGGCTCGTCATCAACACGAGGGGGATGACTTTCGCGGGCGCGGCCGGACGGGGTGCGTTCGGAGTGGCGGCCCACTCGACGACGGGCGCGGGCGGCTGCCGAGCAGGACGACGCGAGCCGCCCCGGAAGCGGCCCGGGGCAGCAGCCGCCGCCTCCGCCGGAAGTATCCGCGGGGGTTGCCCCGGGTCAGGCCAGCCCGGGGGTTGTAGGTTAGGTGCCCTAATAAGGGCGAGGCAAGGCGGCCGGCGGCGGAGTGCCCGGCCCGGGCGGAAGGAGATGGACCCCGACTGGGATATCTTAAAGTCCGCGGTAAATAAGGTTCTAAGATGTTGTCCACGAAAAACAAAAAGTTGCTAAAAGAAACACTGAATTGTGGTTGACGTCGAGGTAAGCCGAAAGTAAACCCGAACGGATGTCAACCACGTGCCTGGGGTTCACTATCACGCGAGCTCTGTAGATATTGTGCCCAGTAGCCCCGTTTGGCGTAGCTGCGTTTAAACATTCTCCTCGTGTCCTTCGATTTCCGGGGCCTCTCTTTTTCGGTTGGCGATGATCTCGGACAAAATGTTCGCTCCAGCGGGCGTTCTCTCTCTCTCTTCTCCTCCCCTCTCCTCTCCCGCTAGGCACGTTCGTGGACCACTCCGTTAACTCCGACATGCCGTGCTGTCTCTCCCGATCGATCAGAGCGTTCCCACCTGAGCGCGGCGCGCACACGCACCGCCAGCTCATCTGGACGCGCATTCAGCCTCCAGCAGAGGGCTCTCCTGTGAGACTCTCCAGGCCTTTTCCTTCTTGTCTGCCGAGCATCGCAGGGGGTGGGGCGGCGTGTCTTTAACTCTATCGGCAACCCAACACAAACAAACAGACAAAACACACACAGACACACACACGACGCGCGCGCGCACACACACACACACACACGAAAAGTGTTGGAGAGTCGGGACGCGAATAACTTAATGAGATTGCCCCAGCCCACAATATAGCAGACAGCGTCGCACCCACAGCTCATTGTGTTTCCGCTCGACAACAGAGTTGCTTGCACACTCTGCTCGACTTCCTCGTGGTCGTGGTGTCACTGTCACAGTCTCCTCGATTTCCTCGTGTGACTGAGTGGTGTGCGCGATACGCTGCGCTGGCGCGCGAGGCTATTCGGATATGTGTTAGGATTCGCACAACGAAAATGGCTCTTTTCTGCGATTCTCTTTTGCCTGTTTGGCTACAATCTCTGACGATCATATACCATCGACCCCCCCC